TTTGATTTAGCCCTTGTCTATGGATTTACAATATTTGAACCATTCATTTCATTATATTCAAGTGTGCAAACTGTACAGTTTTTTCCAAAAATTAACGAAAGGGAAAAAGTCAAGTACCATTTACGATGATTTACTTGAGTTTGATGCCAAATCGCTTTTAATAATAGTTGAAGAGTTGATATCACTACCAAAATTAGCAGCATAGGGGTATTTACTAAGAGAAATGAGGGAAATAGGGTGAAAAAGCAAGTGGAGAACTTGATTTGACAAAAATACCCTGAACTTAACAGAATTTTTTAACGGAAGGACCAAATTGATGGATGATGGACAATCTCAAGGACCACTTTTATCGATTTGAAATCTCAGGGACCAAAGTGAGGAGTTATGTAAATCTCAGGGACCATTTTGGCTAAAAAACCATTATTTTATTATGTTTCCTAGTTTTATTCTAAGACTTTTTAGGGTTTTATTTTGTACTGTATAAATAAGACTTTTTAGCCGTTAGGGTTAGAAGGGAAGAGAGAAGGAAACGCACAAGCCTTTGACAATTCAAGTTTATTTTCTAGGTGTTTTCTTTCCATATTCTTAATAATATTTTATTATGATTGTTCGTAACTAGTTCTTTTGCTAAGGCAAAGCCTTGAGCCTTAGCATGAATATGTGATTTTATTAATTTGCTTATGAATGGAAGCATGTTTGCTGTGAATTATTAATCACCGTGATTAAAGTATCTAATTGTCTTAATGATTTGCGACCATTAGGGTTTTTAGACAAGTAATTTGATGCAATTTCTGTTGGAACATCACCCTAAAATTGAAGAGGGCTTCTTGTGATTAGTAATTGTAAGTTCACTTAAGGCGAACATCATGCTCTTAAGGGTTGCATGGTTTTTCAAAGGGTTTTCACAAAACTTAATGAGTCTTGCATGTTTATATTTGATCTGAACATCATAGACGGGTTGCATGTTAGATATACGTTTTCACTTGAATATCACAAGGAAGATATGCATTAGGAAAACCTAACCTTCAAAGCATGTATGTGGAAATTCATAAGTAGTTGGTAAAATTGCGTATGATTGTTAAGGGGATAACAGAACCCTAGGCTTTTACAAATTGATTTTCTTTAAATTTTTCTCTAGTTAATTTCTTTAATTGTTTTATTTTAAAACTCATTTTTATTATATTAAATTCTAAAATCAACATTTTCCAAACTTTGTTTTCAATAATTAATTAAGAGTTGGTTTTAAACACAAATTATTCATTCAATCTCTGTAGAAAATGACCTTACTTGAGCTACTATACTACGACAACCTTATACTCTTGCAAGTATTTTTAAGTTTTATCCCTACTTTTGCAGGTGGTAAAAATCCTATCAAGAAATTGGCACCGTTGTCGAGGATTGTTTTAAATAATTTGTGTTTATCATACTCTTAGGTAATTATTTGTATATATATCTTTTTATTTACTTGTTGATTTTGTTTTTATTTTTGTAGGCTTGTTAAGTTTGATAGCAATTCAATGATGGAGCCACCACCAGGAGGATTGCCGTTATGGGTTTCTTTAGCAGAAAAAGGTTTTTATGGATTTAAACCTACAGTTTGTGCCCCTTGCTGCTTGAAGACCCATGATCTTTTGGAGTGCTCCGAAGGTGAATATTTTCCTATATTTGTCCAAAAACATATCAATATGAGAATCGACTCCAAAAAGAATTGGAACAATCCCTATTCAGAGTTCTACACTACAAGTTCGAAAAAGCTTCTTAAGCAATATTTTGAGCAACATAATGTGCCACAAGAGCTCTCAGTGGAGGACAAACTTTCTCTATTGTTGGAATCAACTGAGTTGTGCATTGAAAGAACCCATCAAGGATTTCAAATTCAAGCATCAAACTGTGGGAACAGCTTTAATGATCAGGAGGAGACTGTCTCAGGAACAGAGGAGCACTCTACCAGCCATTCACGCCCAAGGGAGGAAGCAACATATATAGATGTTTTCCTAGAACCGAGGGCCACCCATGCTTATGTGCCACTAAAACCCTTCCCACAAAGGTTGCACGAATGCACAAAAATTGATGTGTTAGAAGCTATTCATACAAAATCGGCATTTGGTACATCACAAGTTAGCTTTTGGACACACTGACAAATCCGGATATAGGATAGCTACCTACTGATAAGAAAATTTTATCGGCTGTACCAGACAGTAGACCTGCACAGTCCATCAAACTCGAAGAAATGCCAGATGAGTCCTGCGAACAGGCAAAGATCTATACGGGAAAGAAGAAGCTTATTGACAGCCAAGTTCCTCATAGAGAAATCCAGCCACTGCAAAAATTATCGGTGTTAAATACAAGGTGGAAACCAATTCAACAGATACCAAAACCTTACTAGAAGGGAGTCTAGGGACCTTATACAACAAAGACTCATTCCCTTAGAAGGGTGGACAAGAAAGATTCAACCAATGAATTCAAATGCACAATTCAAGTCAATTCTTACCTACTGACACTCTATGATGCTGCCAAGGAGTGGTTAATTTTGAAGGAACAAATGACGTGATCATTAGCCTCATTCCTCTGCGTCTAGCTATAGACGTTAACTAAAGCGCTAATTGGGAGGCAACCCAATTTTTCTAACTTTTTGCTTTTATTTTCATTTTATTTTCTTGCTTTCATTCATTATCACAAAATCACAAAAACAAAAATAAAAAAAAAGGTCCGAAAATTGAATAACACAAAAATAGAAATTTTTTTAGTTAATTAGTATTTTATTTTGGGATTTATTCTAATATGATTTTTATTGTCTGATCTTTCCAGGTTGCATCTGGAAGTAAATTAGCTCTAAATATCCACTAAGCGTGCTCAATTGATTGAATCATTCATTCAGTAGCATTCATATCTTCATCACAACAAATTCATCATCACATTCAGAAGAATATTCATAGGAGTCAAATTCAACACAAATGCAAGCACAAGATACAGAGCGAGCACATGATGAGGTCCAGGGATACTCACAATAGGCCTGGTACTTCTTGGCACGACCAAATAACCCGACACGACACGACACGACTCGAAATTAACAGGTGTTTGGGTCGACACGATAACGAATCGGATCGTTATCGAAAACCCGATAAGCACCTGTTAAGATAACAGGTTGGTTCGGGTATACACGTGGGTAACATGATACACAATAAGCAGAATATTAATTTAATAATTTTATAACCCTAAAAAAATACTATAATAATTATATATATATATATATTAATTTAACAATTTTGTACCCCTAAAAACTATAATAATTATATATATATATATTAAATTAACTATAATAATTATAATAATTATATATACTATAATAATTATACCCCCAAAATATTAACTATAATAATTATATATATATATATATATATTAAATTTTAAATTAAATTTTATACTCCTAAAAACTATAAAAATTAATATGCATCCGCCCTTTGGAGAAAAAGGGATGGAAAAAGTTTTTTTCTTTAAAAAACAGGGAGAGAAAAAAGAAAATTTTAAGAAAAGGAAACAAAAAAGAGAGGGAAAGATGGGTGTAGTCATATTTTGCTTGCTACTAGTAGGGCGGGTTTTTCCACCATGGTCTCTCAAGTGTGCACTTGTTAGGATAATATTCGACAGCTGTGTTCCTGACACGTGTACGTCATTTACCTCTCTCTCTCTCTCTCTTTTTTTCTTGAGAAATTTTTCATTGTAACAGGAACACAAATAGTACACCATGTGTTTTAATAGAAGTGGTAAGAAATTTTATTTTTTAAGTTATTAACTTTTTATCACCTATATCCCACTATTTTTATAATGACACGTGATGTACTACTCCATGTACTGGTCAATTATACGTACAAAATAAATAGATTTAAATCCACTTAATAAATATATATATATATATATAGTTATATACCATTGAACTAGATGGGATACGAATTATACGAAACTAATTTTAACGATCCAACCATCAAACTTGTTTGTATATGCTTCAAGATCGCACCAACAAAAAATTGCAAAAAACAAACATTCAGAGATCAAGTAACGGGACAAAACTTTTCGACAGTTATAAATGAAAATTACGATTTAACTGTTATTTTAACTCTGATTTTGGTGATTTTTTTACAGTTACACTCCTTGACGCTATATGAATACATTGAATGAATTCAATCTTCAATTTAAAATATTTACACTAGTGAATGCCACAAAATCTTATGTTATACTTAATGAAAGTATAAATAAACTCTTAAGTGTTAGTGAATCTATCGTTTTGATGGGATATGCATCCTACAAAACTAATTTCAATGATCCAAACCGTCAAACTTGTTTGTATATGCTTCGAGATTGCATACGCCAAAAATTACAAAAAACAAACATTCAGAGATCAAGTAACGGGACAAAACTTTTCGACAGTTATAAACGAAAAATCACGATTTAACGGTTATTTTAACTCCAATTTTGATGATTTTTTACAACTACACTCCTTGACCCTATATGAATACAATGAATGAACTCGATCTTCAATTTAAAATATTTACACTAGTGGATACCACAAAATCTTATGTTATACTTAATGAAAGTATAAATAAATTTTAAGTGTTAGTGAATCTATCGTTTTGATGGGACACACATCCTACGAAACTAATTTCAATGATCCAAACTGTCAAATTTGTTTGTATATGCTTCGAGATCGTATACGCCAAAAATTGCAAAAAACAAATATTCAGAAATCAAGTAACGGGAAAAAACTTTTTGACGGTTATAAATGAAAATCATGATTTAACATTTATTTTAACTCCGATTTTGATGATTTTTTACAGCTACACTTCTTGACCGTATATGAATACAATGAATGAACTCGATCTTCAATTTAAAATATTTACACTAATAGATACCATAAAATCTTATATTATATGAAAAGTGTTAGTGAATTTATATATTAAATTAAATTTAAAAAATTGGTGACTATTGGATTGGTTGAGATTTAATCTCAGTTGTCCATTGGGCATTAGGTTGGACTTTGGATCCTCTTCTCTTCTCAGACAGGCTTCTCGAATCTCTCCCGCTCAGCTCTGCATCTCCCTCGCCTTCGCAAGTCATAACCTTCCTCCTCATCCTCTTCCGTGTAGCGGCCCTCTCTGTGAACTTCAGCTCTGCATCTCCGTTCAAGGTTCGATCTGTATTTTGTGTTTTGTAGTGCCTGATTGTGATTGTGTGTAGCGGCTGTAGTCTCTCGGTCTCACTCTGTGAACTTCGCAACTTCCTCCTCACCCTCTTTCAAGCATGAATGTCCTCAGATTTATTGTATCTTAGGCGATATGCTGCAGCAGCTTTCATTAATCCATTTAACTTAATTAAAATTAACAATTTAACACCAACCCATTTCTTCTTCGTACCAAAAAACGACATGGGAATCATCGTCGTACTATGAACTCACCTCCATCGCCATGGCTGACTCGCTTCCAAGCTCGGTTTTTCTGATGAGCTTCCAAAAAAAAAAAAAAAAGAAAAAAAAAGAAAAAAACACTAACACTGTTTATTATGGGGGTGTAGGATTGTCGTTTTAATATTATACATGTGCATAACTCTTGTAGTCATTATTATAAAGATTAATACAATGACGCCTCAGATTTATTGTGGTGAATTTATATTGAATTGAACAAATATTAGGAAATGAACAAATATTACATGAATTTCTCTTATTGCAGCACATATGCATGAATCAAAGTAGTTAATTGATTACAATTCAGCATGGGGGATTAGGTAGCTAGATTTAACCTGCACTAAGAGCATGTGTATTTTTTTTTTTTTTAGGCTCTTATTTTCAAATGTAGATGTAGTACTTAAACGACAAATGTATTTTAATGTTTTGAAGTAATATTTATGTGGCAATGTGTGATATTGCAAATTTAAGAAAAAAATATATTTTTCTTAACGGGTCATAATGGGTCGAGTCACTTTACCTGTTGGGTAAAGTGACCCGACCTGTTAAGAACCCAATAAGATAACAGGTGTGGCACGACACGACCCGTTAAGATAACAGGTGTTACACAAAACAATACGAACACGACAGACACGACCCATTTGTCAAGCCTAACTCACAGTGAGGATGCTAAGAAGACCTCTATGCTAATGGACCCCTTTCTCTCACACTTCATTCAAAATATAATTACATTCAAGTTTGGCGGAGGGATCCATGTTGCACAGAAAGCACAGCTCATCAAGTCAAGATATAGATCCAGTTTTGTGCACACCATTTTGACTCATCATTCATCACGATTCTGTTGAGAGTTGTCTCACATTGGTGAGGGACAAAGTTTGTTATGTGCTTATATGATCTTGGGCTACTCCTCATATTGCCAATTGGTTTTATGGTGTAACCTCAATTTCATCATGGTATTAGAGTAAGGTTGTTCATGTGTGAAGCCCAACAGCCACACGTGCTCCACGTCACCCAGTTGTTGTCCACGTGTAGGCTTGAAAATCCGCCACACGTGTGGGGGCGTTTTGAGAGTTGTCTCACATTAGTGAGGGACAAGGTTTGCTATGTGCTTATATGATCTTCGGCTACTCCCCATATTGTCAATTCGTTTTATGGTGGAACCTCAATTTCATCATGATAAACCATGTCAGCCGTACAAGTCGAAAAGTATGCCAAGTCAGCAATCCGGGTCATCTATGTTTGAAATCCCAGCTCCCGCTATTCAAACAGATTGCCACAGTTCAAATATCAGTCAAAGGATATCTGAACAATCCTAGTCCTAGCTTATCTACATCTCTTTTTAATCTGTTTAGTTGTTTTGTAAATTTGAAATACTTGTAATCTGTAACAAACATATTCATGTAATCTCTATAAATATGAAGCCAATGACTCACTCATAATTAACTGAGTTGAGCTTATGCAATTCAGATCCTCATACCCTACTTTAGTATCTTTCAGATTCATGCAAGCACATGGGAAAGCAATACTGCATCGCCGCATCTGAGATTTGCAGCTTTGGAGACGAAATCAAAGGAGATGCGGAAGAGAGTTACCTTTATCAGTGTCAAGAACTGAGAGGGACATGAGATACAGCTAGGGAGGCACGGCTGGGTATTTGTTTTTGAGGTTGATCTATGGCCGAAGAATGCTGAGATCATGGTGAAGTATGTTTTGGACCATGAAATTCATTGGAGGGGATGCGGCTGCTATGGTTTTTGAGGGAAATGAGACATGAATGGAGGAGTCTGCGGCTTTGGGCTCCAGGTGAAAGAGAAGGGGAGCTTCTCAAACGGCTAGGTTTGGGGCAACGAGGATACTGGGGCTTAATTTAGCTTAAGGGCACTTTGATTCGGGTCCAAAAAATTCAGTTGTTTTTTAATTGGGTCCAATTTTATTTGATTTCTATTACACCTGTTTTGCCCTTAGAAAATATATTTTTTTTTAATTCTATAAATTTGAATCTTCAAATACCTTTATCTACCCGTTTTCTAATTAAAAAGACATTATTACAAATCTTATAAGTTTATCAAAAATTAAAAGAAACATTGCCAGAGGTAGATAAAAAATAAGATAAAAAATTTGTGATGTAGGTAGAATCTATGATAGAGATAGACTATGAACAAAAACCCATTTTATAGATAGATAATACAAAATAATCTATGATACAGATAGACTATGAACAAAAACATATTGTATAGGTAGATAACATAGTTAATTTGTGATATATAGGTAGATAAACACAATTAATCTTAGATTATCAACAAAATAAGTTATATATATATATATAGGTAGATAAATACAATTATTCATGATGCAGGCATAATATAATATAAAAAGATAAAAAAAAAAATGGACGAGTGATATAGGTAGATAAAAACCAAAAAAAATCATGAAGAAAAATGATATTGAGGGAGGAAACACTAGAGAAAATGCTAATTCGATAGAACTTCAAAGTTAAAAAAAATATATATAAAAAGGAGAAAGAAGCCAAAAAAAAGATATTGTGAGGGAGAAACAAGAAAAGAGAATTGAAACAAGAAAAGAGAAATGAACAATTTGGGGGAGGAGAAGAAAAAAAGGAGATTTAAATCCCTAATACTATAATTAAGGATAAGATTAACATTAATCACACACTTAAAAAAAACAGTAATTACTTAATTGGTCAATTTAAGGGTAAATTTCGCAAGAGAATACAAATAAGCGTATGTGGACAATGAATCACTGGACCTAACCTAAAAATTAAACAAAATTGGAATATAACTAATAATGGCTTATAAAATTGGACTCATATTAAGTTTCCCCTTAGCTTAAATAAGAGCAGCTAGATTTCCCATTAGCACGTGTGGTCCGTGTGAAGAGGCTCAGCGCCTCATGTTGTTCCAGCAAGTCATGGGTTCAAGTCCAGCACGCAGCAAATTTTGGGTTTTTATTTTTCAGCGCTTTCGTTGATGCTCTCGTGTCCCAGGTTCGAACCCAAGAGTGTCCACTTCCATTCCCTTTATTTTATTTTTCGTTTTGTATCATTTTATAGTTTGTTCTGCTTTGTCTTTTGTTTCATTTTCTAGTTTTATTTTTCATTTTTCTATTTCTAGTCAATTAAGGTGGTTGTTTGTTTTTATTTTGTTGTTTAGTTTATTTTTGATTTCATTCCTTTTTCCACACCTTGAGGACAATGTGTGATTTAAGTTTGGGGGTGGGAAAGTAAACTTTAAGGTTTTTAATTTTTGAGTAAGGTTAAAAAATTTTGTTTTTGAGTTAATATCCATAGATTATTTTAAACGTTAGAACAAATGGACATGGTGAAGGTTAATCCCATAGTAGAGTCTTTTCTATTTATCGTTGTTTAGACATTAATCCATGAGTTATACTTTGAAAATTTGCACGTTCACACCAACATGGTTTGTGGGGAGTGAGATTGGAAAGCTTACTTTTTGTCTAAGTAATTTTTTAATTTTTGTTCTAAGTAAAGTAAAGTTTAGTATGTGTCATAAAGTAATAATTGTTCCACCCAAGACTTTGCTTAGTAACCGGGTCAGTTCTGCCTAATTAGCATTGCACGACCACTACTATTACTAGAAAATAAATCCAAAAAGGAAAAAAAAAAAGAAGAGAAAATTCGAAAAGAGAAAAAAAAAATATAGTACGTGTGGAATAAAGAGGACGAAAGGTAGGGTTTTAGTCGAGTCTCTTTAACCATGTTGGTTCACTTTACACCAAAGGAAGTTCATGAATTCTTTTCTAATTGATTCTAAATGGCTTAGACTCTGTGGTAGGATTAGTTAGAACTTTTGGAAAGATGTTTTGATTTTTAACGTTTTCTATGGATTACAACTTGAAGAGGAAAATTTTGTCATAGTTGAGTTTTAATAAAGTTTTTAAGTTTGTTGGTTCTTATATTTGTTTTTGAGTTTTGTTTTGCTTGAGGACAAGCAAAAAAGCTAAGTTTGGGGTATTTGTTGAGTCCATATTATACCATATATTTTACCCTATTCTTAGTTATAGTTTATTGGTTATTTTGGTAGAATTTTAATACTTTATTATATATTTTCAATGTAGGACATGAGACTTTCTCTGGAGCAAAAAGTGATCAAACGGATGAATTTTGGAGTGATTAGAATTGGAAGATGTTCATGATTCTTTCAAGATGATTGTATTAAAGTTTCAAAATTTTCTACCAAGCCGTTTGACCATGGCGATGAAATAAAGGCCCAGCGCGTAGCTTTACCAGATTGACGTTTTTGGACATTTTGGGTATTTTGGAGGTCAAGATGGCACATTCTGAGGATTTGTAGGGGACGTCTCCAACTTTCAAAAGAGATCTTTTGGGACCAAATCGGAGTTGATTTGGTTGGTCAAAAGTCTGATTTCCTGAGAAGTCCGAATTTTAGTGTAAATAGGAAACCTTTTATTTTTTGTTTTATTATTTTATTATGTTTCCTAGTTTTATTCTAAGACTTTTTAGGTTTTATTTTGTAGTGTATAAATAAAACTTTTTAGCTCTTAGGGTTAGAAGGGAAGAGAGGAGGAAACGCACAAGCACAATTCAAGTTTATTTTCTAAGTGTTTTCTTTCCATGTTCTTAATAATATTTTATTATGATTGTTCGTAAATATTTCTTTTACTAGGGCGAAGCCTTGAGCCTTAGCATGAATATGTGATTTTATTAATTTGCTTATGAATGGAAGCATGTTTGCTTTGAATTATTAATCATCGTGATTAAATTATCTAATTGTCTTAATGATTTGCCACCATTAGGGTTTTTAGACAAGTAATTTGATGCAATTTCTGTTGGAACATCACCCTGAAATTGAAGAGGGCTTCTTGTGATTAGTAATTGTAAGTTCACTTAAGGCGAACATCATTCTCTTAAGAGTTGCATGATATTTCAAAGGGTTTTCACAAAGCTTAATGAGTCTTGCATGTTTATATTTGATCTGAACATCACAGACGGGTTGCATGTTAGATATACGTTTTCGCTTGAACATCACGAGCAAGATATGCATTAGGAAAACCTAACCTTCAAAGCATGTATGTGGAAATTCATAAGTAGTTGGTAAAATTGCGTAGGATTGTTAAGGGGATGGCGGAACCCTAGGCTTTTACAAATTGATTTTCTTTAAACTGTTCTCTAGTTAATTTCTTTAATTGTTTTATTTTAAAATTCATTTATATTATATTAAATTCTAAAATCAACATTTTCCAAAATTTTGTTTTCAATAATTAATTAAGAGTTGGTTTTAAACACAAATTATTCATTCAATCTCTGTGGAAAACAACCTTGCTTGAGCCGCTATACTACAACAACCTTGTACTCTTGCAAGTATTTTTAAATGTTTTTATCCCTATTTTTGCAGATGGTAAAAATCCTATTAGGAATTTCTGCAGAAAATATTGTCAGTTAGTTGGGGATTAGAAAGTTGAACAGGACGAAAATTTGACTTGGTATGGAGTTTCAAACTAGATCTTTGGTGCTAGATTAGTCTTTGAATAGTGATCAACTATATGCCAAAATTTGTGTACGGTTAGAAATTTCATATTGATAGAAATTTCTAACTAGATCTTTGGTGCTAGATTAGTCTTTGAACAGTATTCAACTATATGCCTACGGATGATTTTGATTATGGAAATTGATGGTAATTTGAAAGGTGGCATATCCCTGGAACTTCTAGAGGGAATGAAATAAAAGCTTATTTTTTAAGATGCATGGAGATGAAAATAAGGGCCCAGGGCATAGTGGGGATGAAAATCATAATTACACACTCTTGGTGAAATATGTAGAGAAATGGTGGGTGGGAGCTAGTGCCATAATTTGGTGACTGGGGATGCAATTACTAGAATGAGAATTATGTCATGTGGTAGAATTCAAATATAAGAAAAAGAAAATTACATATTTACTTATGTTACAAGCCGTTAGTAAAATTGTTTTTGGACGAATGTTTACTTATGTGAGCTCAGAGTACCTACAATATAGAAAACCAAAGACAATTAAATATTTACAACTGCACAAGATCAACAATAGTACGTTAAGGCCAAGCGCGAGGTCGATTATTATTTAATTGCTATGCAAATGTTAAAGACCATTCTGTATTTGAAAAAATTTGTTCATTCTATGGCATGACTTAATCCATGGTCATGCATTAAATCGTGTATCCATATATGAAATTATATTACTAATCCCACATTCAATTAAACACATGTATAGAAACTCATTTAAGTGTGGAAGAATTGTGTGGTAACAGAAATTCATTGCCTTCTGTTTTGACCAACTTGTACCTACAAAATAATCAACACTTTTGATCAAAGACCTAAGGCTTATGTGCCCACGAGGTGGGGAATTGGGGGGGGGGGGGGTTCAGCAAATAGATCTCCGATGCTTAAGTTAGTGTCTTTGAAAAGAATGAGTTTTTAGGGTTTGTATGCATTCCAAAAGTTTACCGAAATTTAGAGGTGATGAGGGTATTTATAAGAGATGGTGGCAAGTCATGGTGTAGGGATTTGCCCTACACATGACGGCTTCCTATTGGCCAAGTTATGTCATCCGTAGGATGCGCAAGGAAATGATGCTTCCAAGATATTAATTAGGAGATAATATCTTGTTAATATCTTGGAATGATGATAGGAATATCCATAATTGATTGTGATAAGAATTCCTTACTTGATATGGTTGATCTTCAATTAGGATTGTATTAAAGATAGGATTTGATAATTAATTCTACCTTTAATGCCTTTGATTTTTTTTTTTTCCATGCCACAAATAGGGGAGCTTTGAGTCGTAGTTCGCTGATTGAACTTCCAGGGATGTTTAGCTGCACGCTGGAATACTTGAGAGCTCTGCCCATTGAATAAGGGCAATCTTGTTTTTCTCGAGTTTCAGTCCACATGTCCCGTTCTGAATTTTTGGGATTATTTTTTGTTCCACAAATTGTATCAACAAGAATTAGCTACACTATCTAGAGACATATGTAGTTGGAGGCGGTTTCCCCATGGTTGGGGGCCTCAACTCCAAGTAAAAGTTGTTTTTTTTTTATTTATTGTTTATTTTTTTAATAAACGATATTATCTAGGGATGTGATATCCATACTTCTCACACACTTTTCTAATTTTCTGCCATCGGATCGGATGAATTAAAGAAGATCAATGGACATAAATTAACAAAGTGTGTATGAGAAGTAAAAAAAAAGGTGAATCGAACCTAAGACATCTCACTTAAAAATAAAGAGGAATACCACTAGATCGTATTATTAAGTGGCAACTCCAAATCAAAGAATTAATTCTCTCTTCCTTGCTTTCTCTTGAGTTAATGAGATATTTCTTTTCTGATGAGAAAAGGACTTGTAGTTTGAAAAATGCAACATAGACCAAAACCAAAGAACAAGTTGAATTTTTCAAACTGCAACATCCCACCAAACTCCAGCATGAGAATAGTTGCACTCTTGAGTTAATGAGAAATTTCGTTACACCTGCACTCTTGACTTAATATATGTTAGGAGTTTGAAAGTCCTAATGTTGAAGAAATTGGGTATCGAATAAAACTTTTTGGCTTCAAATCCACCCCATTTCAAGCCAATACAGGAATTGAAACTGATGACTCTAATGCCTTAATCTGCGGTTAAAAGTCCGAAACTTTCATTCCCTTCACTATCTGGTGGTTTAAGTCTAGTACTGTAAACGGGTTGGGTTGATTGGGTTTGGATTAGGTTTCACCTAATTCGTTTAACTAACAGGTCACTCACACCCGCCACGTTGAGATAACGGATCACTCAAACTCAATTCATTAAGCTAATGGGGTCACCTATTTCACCCGTTAACAAATTTTTTTTTTTTGTTTAATTTTGTATTCTAATACAAATTACACATATTTTAATCAATATTTCAAGCATGAAGGTCCAACACATTTAGAAGTACCCAAATACAAAGTTGATACATCTCCTTTGGGGAGAATCTAACCTAAGACCTATCATTTAAAAATAAAGAGGAATACCACTAGAATGTAGTATTAAGTGGCAACTCCAAGTCGAAGTATTAATTCTCTCTTCCTTGCTTTCTCTTGAGTTAATGAGATATTTCTTTTCTGATAAGAAAAGGACTTGCAGTTTGAAAAATGCAACATAGACCAAAACCAAAGTACAAGTTGAAAATTTTCAAACTGCAACACCCCTCAAATTCCAACATGAGAATAGTTGCACTCTTGGGTTAATGAGAAATTTCGTTACACCCGCACCCTTGACTGAATATATGTTAGGAGTTTGAAAGTTCTAAAGTTGAAGAAATTGGGTATCGAATTAAAATTTTTGGCTTCAAATCCACCCCACTGCAAGCCAATACAGGAATTGAAACTGATGACTCTAATGCCTTAATTTGCTGCTGAGAGTCCGAAACTTTCATTCCCTTCACTATCTGGTGATTTGAGTCTAGGCTTGTAAAAGGTTTGATTTATTGGGTTTGGGTCAGGTTTCACCTGATTCGTTAAGCTAGCGAGTCACTCACACCCGTCCCGTTGAGCTAACGGGCCACTCAAACTCAACCAGTTAAGCTAATGGGTCACCTATTTTACTTGTTAACAATTTTTATTTTTATTTTTTAATTTTGTACTCTAATACAAATTACACATATTTTAATGAAGATTTCAAGCATGAAGGTCCAACACATTTAGAAGTACCCAAATACAAAGTTGATAAGTCTTGCAATTGGGCATACAAATATGATAAAACCTTACAAGAGCATAAACCCTTACAGAAGGAACTCATGAGATAAACTATATGTGTGTATGGAAAAATTAATTAATTAATAATTTTCTTTTATAGTGCTGCTCATTTGTCTAGCTTCTAATTTTATGCCATCTCAAAAGTCGAAGACTTGACTTTAAAAATTGACTCACGAATCAATTAGTCAAGAGCATCTTTTACGCATGTAGAAGATACGATGCACTTGTCCCCGTTACGTCCGTCTCTATGGGGTTACTTGATATCTCCATCATTCGCATGCCAGTCTATAGCAATGCCGACAGTAATTAAGGGGTGTGATATCCACATATTTTTTTTTACTTTTTACACATCTTTTATTAATTTATGTCTGTTGACCTTCTTCAATTCATCCGATTTGACGGTTGAAAACTAAAAATATGTGCAAGAATTAAAAAAAAATATGTGAACATCACACCCCATAATTAAATGTTATTCGAAAAAAGAACAAGGAAGAATAAATCTAACAAACAACATTTTTCAACAATAAATTGTGAGTGGGTTCAAGGAAATGACACGTGCTGTCTTTTGAGTACCACTCAGTCATTCTGCATAAATATGTGTGTGTGTGTGTGTATATATATATTAACAATCAATATTATCTACACTAAGAGATGGAGGTAAACTAATCCTCACAATGAGCTAGTAATAATGTAGTTTAAATTTGCCTTTAACAAAAATCAAACCTAAAATCTCTCACTTATAAGTGAAGAGGAATATCATTAGACCGTAGTACTATGTTCTGCATATATTATTCTTTTAAATACTACTGTTTCACATGATCATAAGATTAGTTCCCTAGTATTCTGTTTCATGTTTGTCAAGAATTGCATCTTTATAAATACACCATGTAACTTGGCTGGAGTTAAGTTTGGTACGATGCACTCTTTTTGCCTTTCGTAGCCATCTTGGCAAAGTTTGTGATTGGTTTGTATTTCTTTTAGAGTGTGATATCCACACATCCCAAATTACTTCTTACATACCCCTTATTAATTTATGTCCATTAATCTTCTTTAATTTATCTAATATAATGGCAGAAAATTAAAAAGGTATGTGAGAAGTAAAATGGGATGTGTGAACATCACACCCCTTTCTTTTTCTCATCAAGTCGACTTGTTTCTTGAATCGTGCTGCTGATTTTTCTCATCAATTAGTCAAGGCATCATATCAACTTACACCCGTCTCTATCACTTTTCAGAAATTATATTGTGGAAGAATTTTCTACTGAACAATGCCAGTCTATAAATCTTTTGTACATCACTCTGCACTTCCATCATACACAGCTAAGAGTGCAAAAAAAAATTCAAAAGATTGTTGTTATGGGGTTACTTGATATCTCCATCATTCGCATGGTTTCAAAACTAGTACTAGTTTTGTTGCTGTTTCATCATGTGGTAATTGCTAACTCTTCCTACTCTTCGCAGAAGCAGTATCCATCTTGCCCTAATGAGGAGAAGTCCGCCCTGCTGCAATTCAAAGACAGCTTTACTATTGACAAGTCTGCTTCTAGATCTATCGATGCTTATCCAAAGGTTTCATCATGGAAACCAGCTGAAGGAAGAAATAGCACCTGCTGCTCATGGGAAGGTGTCAAGTGTGATGAGAAGACGGGTCATGTGATTGGCCTAGATCTTAGTAGCAGCTGTCTCCACGGCTCTATCAACAGCAATAGCAGCCTCTTCCGCCTTGTTCATCTTCAAAGGTTAAACCTCTCTGACAATAACTTCAATTACTCTCAAATTCCTACTAGCATTAGGAATTTTCCGAGCCTCACTCATCTTGACCTCTCTACCTCTGTCTTTTCTGGTCAAGTCCCTTCTAAACTTTCACTGTTATCCAAGTTGACATACCTTAATCTAGCTCTCAATCTCGATAGATTGTCAGAAGATAAGGATCATCAGTCGTCAGAAGAGGAGAATTATCCCTTGTTGAAACTTGAAGCATCAGATCTTGGAAGCCTAGTGCAAAACTTAACTAGTCTCGAAGTACTTTCCCTCAGTTTCGTAAATGTATCTTCGGCAATTCCTCATTCCATGGCTAATTTATCATCTTTGACAACCCTCAACCTCAGGGACTGTCACCTGTTTGGTGAATTTCCAGTGAGAATTTTCCAACTGCCAAACCTAGAATCTCTTAGTGTGAGATACAACCAAGAATTGACTGGATATTTTCCTGAATTTAATCAAAGCAGTCCTCTCATCTTACTGAAAGTCGGCTTTACTGGCTTTTTTGGAACAATACCCTCTTCAATTCAAAACCTTCATTCACTGCAAAGCTTCGATGTGGCTCAATGCAATTTTTCGGAAGGGTTGGTTCCATCTTTTCTTGGGAATCTTAGGCAGCTCACTTATCTAGACATTTCAGCCAATAAATTTGGAGGTCTAATTCCTGATTCCTTGGCAAACCTTACCCAACTGGCTACTTTTAGGATTAGTACAAGTTTTTTAACTGGTCCAATCCCATCTTGGCTAGGCAACTTTAGCAAACTAGAGTACCTAGATTTTGCTTTTAATAGATTAAATGGTTCAGTTCCAGTGTCATTTTCAAATCTCACAAACCTTCAGATCCTGTATCTACATTCGAATACTCTGACTGGTGCAGTAGAGTTTCAAATGTTTCAAAATCTACAATCTCTTTACCAACTAGAATTAAGCTGGAACGGTTTAGAACTTGTCACTGAATCCAGAATTTTGAATTCAACGGTTAAACAGTTCACCGTTCTTGGATTGAATGATTGCAACATAGGAGAGTTTCCATCCTTCTTACAATATCAGAAGGGGTTGACATGTTTGGAACTTGCTGGAAACAAAATCCGAGGCCAAGTACCAAAATGGATGTGGAATACAAGCTTAGAAAACTTTGCTATTTTTAGACATTTCTAATAACTTCATTTCAGACCAACCTCCACTTGTCCTTCCTTGGGTGAAACTGTTAGGTTTAAGGTTTTCGTCCAACATGTTTCATGGATCACTACCGATACCTCCACCAACCATGCTAGAATATGCAGCTGCAGACAACAACTTTACTGGAGAAATCTCACCGTTGCTTTGCAATATGAAAAATCTTCTGTCCCTTGACTTGTCGAAAAATAATTTGGGTGGCATGCTTCCTCAGTGTCTCGGAAACTTTAGTGATCATCTGATTCTTCTACTTCTCGGAAACAACTGTTTTCACGGAATTATTCCTCAGACATACAACAAAGGAAGCAGTTTGAGAATGATTGATGTGAGTCATAACAAGTTGCAGGGGCAGTTGCCGAGGTCATTGGCCAATTGTGTGATGCTTCAGTATCTTGTTTTGTCAAACAATCGTTTCAATGATGTTTTTCCCATTTGGTTGGGGACTCTTCTAGAGTTAAAACTTTTGGCAATGCGCCATAATGGATTTTACGGTGTGATTGGGAAATCTAGAAAGAATGTCAATTTCCCCAAGTTACGCATTCTTGATTTGGCTTACAATGATTTTACTGGTGCGGTTCCATCTATGTTTCCAGATATTACTGTAAACAAGTCAGCATATATGTACACACGCATAGGTTATGATAATGGATTCCCGGTTTGGAATAGTGTTGATTACCAACTCACAATAGCAACAAAAGGTTTGGAGCAATACTACCCAAAGATCCGAGAAGAATTTGCATCCTTTGATATCTCAAGCAACAAATTTGAAGGGAAAATTCCACAATTCATTGGGAATCTTAAGGAGCTTCGCTCGCTGAATCTATCCCACAACATTCTCACTGGTTCTATCCCATCATCCCTTGGAAACTTGATGAAGCTTGAATCATTGGACCTTTCACAAAACAAGCTCTCAGGACAGATCCCCCAACAACTGAGTCGACTTACTTTGCTCGCCAATTTCAATGTGTCTCACAACAGTCTCACAGGTCCTATACCACAAGGAACCCAACTTACTTCCTTGAATGCCACTTCATACGAGGGAAACCCAGGGTTGTGTGGAGATCCATTGCCAAAGAAATGTGGAAATCCTAAGGCCCCTGAACTTCCACCTTCAACCGTTGACGAAGGTGATTCTAGCTTAGAAGGCATATTTGAATTTGATTGGAAAATTGTTTTGGCTGGATGTGGAAGTGGGTTGGTAGTGGGAGTAGTTCTTGCAGATGTTGTGATCACAAGGAGGCCCGACTTTTTTCTTAAGATTGTTGGAATGATCAGGCAAATGATAAGGAAAATTTAGAGTACTAGTGGGGGAAGTAGAAATTCAGTTTGTTGTCGTTTGTTTTCTCTGTTGTGGTCTCTTTCCTTCACTTTCTATATGTTTAGTTATAAGTTTGTATCAGGTTATGTAAGTGTGTATCCCTCCTATTTTCTTATACTTTCGGTTTCTTTTCTTTCTTCTTTCTTTAATTTGAGGGGTAAAATTTATGTCCTCCTGATTAGATGTAACTTCTTTTTTTTATATTTTCTCTCGTACGGTCGATGTTTCTTTGAAAAAAAAAAAAAAAAAAAAAAAAGAAGGTGGAATGTATTGGTGCTTTTTAGCTTTTAGTTGATTGTGTTGTTCAAGTTCAAAACTCTGGCCTATATATCATATTGTTTTTAAGTTATATCAGTTTGCTTGCACCATCGAGTTTCTTTAACAATTAAATGGAGATAGAAAGTAATGTAAATAAAGACAGTAGAGTGCTGCACGTTTTCATGGATTTGGATTTTCTGAAATTAGAATGAAAGTAGCTATGTTCATTTGGAAGGATTCTTATTCATTTGATTAATTGGAGACAATCTTTTTAATCAAATGAAATCGAAACTTTCCTATGCCTTAGTAACTAAGAATACTTGTACAACAGTTACATATTTAAGGGTAATACATTCTGTTCCAAAATTCTAAAACCAGAGCTACAAAATTTGTACAACATTTTGTTCCAATCATCGGAGGGAATGAATGAGAATCGTGGATTACAAGGGAATTGGTTTTGTAGGAACAACTTGTAAATTGAATACATCAGTTGTGCAATAGGCAACAAATGCAAAAGGCCTGGTGGACTTGAAGCGCAGAAAAGAAAACATCAATGTCGTTAGCCCTAAAACTTGCGTTATATCATTGATGAAATAATAATGTTATCATTAATATAAATATCTTCCTTATAAATTCTCCTCAATAGTTTCCATGCTTATTGTGACTTAATTTTTCGTTTGTCGTGCAAGGATAATACACTTTTTATTCTTGCAGAAAACATTTTTATATGAAGGATATTATAACTTTGTAAGAGTACTTTTATGTACCATTTTTCAAAATTGTTGACATATTTTAACAAGACAATTAATGGGGAAAAAACAAGTCATTGGTACACGTGAAGAGGTGAAAGCGAAAGTCCCACATTGGAGAATAACAAAACCTTTCATATTATTGACATATTTTAACAAGAAAATAAATGGGAAATAACAAAACCTTTTTGTGTGATGAATTCATATTTACAAATAGAGAAACAAGACTGCCAAAGCAGAAATGACAGATAAGGTTGATGCGATTCTAAACTATTGGGCTTCTATTAGATCAATTAGACCAGTTATTGTTGGTATTAGCTATTAAGCCCATTATATATGTGATATCATTAGGCCCATTTATATTTCAAAAACTAATTATCTTTGAATGTATTTAAACCTCTTTTACGATATAAAGGGACTATGAATGAAGATATGAATTTCCTTTGATTTCCTTTTTCATTTCCTGCATTTACTTTCTTGCAATTTCCCTTTTGCCATGTCTGATCCTATCAATTGGTACTAGAGCCACAGATCCACCGTGGATCTGTGGTTTGCCTTCATCGATCCCACACTTCCGGCACCGTGAAGAAGTGTGATGGATAAGTCCAGTGGTCTGGTGTTCTATTGGAATCCAAAAACCAATGTTTCTCAGTATGAACATCCAAATCCGGCTTTGCCTCCACCACCTCATCCTCCTCCCGATCACTACCAGATTCCATATGAGTATAAGCCCACATTTCCCTACTCCAGTTGTAACTATCGACCGCCAGATTACCCAGCCTCGTATGTGCCTGAGCTTCCCGTAGCTCCTTCATATACCAGTCCTATTTTCCTTCCGCACCCCCACCACCTTCCGTTGTGTATTCGGACTCCATAGACGTCCCTCAAATCCCTCTTTTGTTGCAATTTTGCATCTCAACCAAAGCTGCGCAATTTGGATACCTTGACTATTCTACTTGAATTTCAGCTTGTATGGGATCTGGGGCATGCATTTTGCAAATTAAGCTGTACAGCTTTTGCATTAGTTTTCTCATTCCGTTCCAAGTGGATGAGGTTAGACCATGATGAGTTTGAGGAATTTGTACTGTCCGGAAAACAAGGGTTTACATTCAGTTCTGAAATATCCCCTGTTGAGTGCTAATGCATATGTGCTACCAGTATCATTGACAAGTTTTGGGTTACCTATTTTCGTAGCTTCAAAATTTGTCAAGGAAAGATATTCTTGTTATTTTCAGAAGTTTCCTTCTATGCCTTTTTCTCTAGCACTGGGTACAGAGCCATTGGATGCTCTTTTCACTATAAATTCGAACCCATTCCAACTGGAGACATTTGAGAACATGTTGCTAACTTGGGTAACACAACCTACTGCTCGATTTTTACGAGATGGCATGCATTACCATGGTGTGCTGAACAAGGCATTTCTAGAGGCTTCACAGAGGCTTTTGCAAGTTATAGAGGTTATTTCTAAGTACATGAGTTCATTGGTAGCTTCCTATCTTGCTTATGCAAATCAAATCCATGTGGTTCTTGCCTTCTATATTGACAGCATTGGTATAATAATTGATTTTGGCAAGCATTTTGATGGTGATGAGCATGTATCATGGTGCCACTTCAATGTTAAATACAATGTCGACCTCATGGCAGCCTTGTTTACGGCTCATACGACTTATATTCGTTTAATGGAGAGGTACTTTCCAGATCCTACGACCTCATTGCCTCCTGCTCAGGTTCTACCTCCAGTATTTATGCTTGTTCTTTGTTTGGTTTCACACTTTCATATGCTTGAATCAGATCATATCTATTTGGGGAAGAGCAATCAGTTTCCTGCTACCGATATTAATTGCATGCATAATTGGTTGAATGGGAATGTCTTGCATGTTGCCACATGGGTTGGGGAAGCTATAGTGTTCTTATCACTACACATATCGAATGAAGTTTTGCGCAGTAATTTTGTTCTAGGTGATCCTTTTCATCACCATGGTATATGGAGAGTTACCTTGGGAAATGTGAGAGCAGCACTAGATTCTGCAATTTGGTTTTCTGTGTACAAGGGATTTACTATAATTGGTTGGAATCATTTCACTGCTCTAGTTCGTGTGAACATGATCCATATTCTTTATGGGGAAGGAATACAACCATCACTTTCACGAAGTGTTCGGGGTTCAAACAAGACAGAGTGGAAGAGAAATCATTACCTAATTCGCTTTTTCACCTACATATTCCAGAGTAATGAGTCCCCTGTAATATGGTTCTTCAAGAGTGAGATGTCACTTTCAGCTGGGATTAGACCCGTTTGCTCCATAGTGTACCAGATGACAAACATATTTGGTTATGTGCCAAACTGTTTCCATTATTGGAAGTGTCTAGCACTCTTTTTGCAGCATAGGATGATAAATTATGGAATGTTCTGTGCCGATTCACTGCTCTACTTAAGTGATTATCAAGCCATCCAATCATCCATGGAATTTCGCAACGGGGGTGAGATCTCTTCGAATTCTTTTGGTGTATTGCTGAACAACAATTGGCCTTTACTCATTAATCTTGAGGTATTCAATGGCTTTGCGACAAGTTATTTTCCATACTATTTTTGGGCCTCCAACCTATTTCCAGAGCATGATGCAGAGGCTTTCGAATATGATGAAGAAACCTGGATTTTGCTTGACCATTCACCGGAGATGCTGTTTGCTATGAAATGGGTGTTATTGGTACATACCCTATTTCTTGCCATCTTTAATTCAATCTATCTACCACACGAGTTGGTGGTTGGTGATGCAACAAGGCTGATTGTTCTCGTGTTCAGTGTTGTGAAGATCAGTGTGCTTCAACCATTTTATTCCATCTCAAAGTAATTGGCAAGACTGCCTGATTTCATTTTGGCAGGATCTGAGATACTGATTTTTGTTTTTTGGGTGAACACACCGAAGATGTTTTGGAAGAACATGGTTCGTGATTTAAAGCCCATACAAAAGCTAATACTGAATATGAGTATGGTACACCGTTTGAGAAATTGACTGGCCTCTTTCCAGGCTGCTGCATGCTTCTTTTTCGGTTTGAGAGGCTTGAGGACAAGCCTCATCTTAAGGGGGTAGGATTGATGCGACTTTAACCTATGGGCTTCTATTAGATCAATTAGACCAGATGTTGTTGTTATTAGCTATTAGGCCCATTACATATGTGATATCATTAGGCCTATTTATATCTCAAACCCTAACTATCTTTGGGTGTATTTAAACCCCTTTTATGATGAAAAGAGACTATGAATGAAAATATGAATTTCCTTTGATTTCCTTTTCCATTTCCTGCATTTACTTTCTTGCAATTTCCCTTTTACCATGTCTGATCCTATCAATTGGTTTCCAATCCAAATCCCTATTCGGAAAAATACATCATACAAAAACACAGTTGTGAATCCAAATTTTAATCAGCAGAAAGACCAACTATAGTTGTGGATCCAAATTTTAATCCAGCAGAAAGACTAACCTTTTGGAATCGAGGAATCAAGGTGGGCTGTCGAGACTCAAAACGGTGAGAGGAAGCTTGTGGGTCGCAAGGGTGAGTGCGAGGTGGGCGAGTGGTTGACTTCGAGGAAGGACTAAGTGAGACTGAGATGAGGCACGAGTCAGGCTGAACAGTTGCTGAGTCGTGGATGAGTCTTACAGACTCTGAAAGTGAGACGGTGCGGGGCAGAAAATACGAAGAATGAAAGGAATGAAGGGGAAGGCTGCCGAAACGAAGAAGGGAAGGAAGGAAGTAAGACGTCGCGCACAACCTAGGTGTAAAAACTAAAAAGGATGCTTTCTCTGTGTTGGTCTCATTCTTCTGTTTTCTTTTTCTTAGTGCTTCTGAAGAAACCAAATTGCAGATTAAGTAACATTAAACAACATTAAATTAAATTACCATTAAACAACATTAAATAACATTAACAAACATAAAAATTAGGAGTGTGCTATCCACACATTCCAAATTAGTTCTCACACACCCCTTGTTAATTTCTGTCCGTTGATCTTCTTCAATTCAGCTGATCCAATGATCGAAAATTAGAAATGTGTGTGAGAAGTAAAATGGGGTGTGTGGATATCACACCCCAAAAATTATGCAACATAAAAAAAACATTTAACAACATGAAACTTAAACAACATTTTTAAAAACATTTAACAATATTTTACTTAAACGCCAACTCCATGCATCTTTTGGTCCAAAGATGTGCAACAAGATCCTGTTGTAGGTACTTATTTGTGGCACGGGAATGTATCATTCTATAGCGTCTCATATACTCATTTATA